TTTTTTTTTTTTTTTTTTTTCCAGCTTGACTGCCAGGTTCTGGAATTGCAGTCACCCCTAATGCCTTCCGAGTAGGAAAGGAAGATGTAAGTTTCCAACGCCAGCAGATAAACGCTACGCATGTATCACTAATCTGGGCATGAATGGCAGATTGATTTCTTCCAGATGCTCTTCATTTACTGTGTACATCTCATACCAGGTGGGTTCAATATGCCCGGGAGATAGTGAGCTCATGTACAGTGAGTGCAGTGCATTCTAGAAGCACAGACTTTGCTGTGCACATAAGGTGAATGCAATAATCTGCAGGTGTACAATGAACCCAGCAGCAAGAACTTGTGGGTTGGCATTGTCCAAGCCTGCACCATTGCCCAGGTGGATTTGGCCAAGCCAGTCCCAGCAGTTCTTGTGCCCATGTTCAGTGCCAGGAATTTACAATGAAAACAAGCCTATAGATTTGTTTTAAGGACAGAGAATGAAAATTGACCAGAATAAGTGAATATTAATGTTCAGTATAAAGTTCATGAAAAATTTATCAATGTTTTCTTTTTTTTTTTTTTTTTTTTTTTTTTTTTTTATGGGGACTGTTTGTTTTTTACTGCCATTGCATGCTGATAACTTCGTTGAATGATTTGCTGTGCCAGGTCCTTTATTGCCCCATCCTTCCTAATCCTACCTATTCAGATCCATGGAGTACTGTGAAAATTTTGGATTTCTCTAATGACCTTTTGTTTTCCCCTTTCTATATTTTCAATGCTTTCCTGTCTACCTGTAGTGCAGTTCCATGTCCTACAGATTTTAATTGAGCAAAGCAACTCAGCATCATTAGCAAATGGTGCAAACTACCATCCTCCAAGAACGCTACCCAGGAGTGAGGTGTGGGCCAGCATTCTATGGGAGCAGCACTCTGCCTCGGACGCTTTAAAGTGGGTCAGAGCCGCGCACCTCCACCCCACCCATCTTGTGTCCCTAGTGTGCTTCAAAGGTGCTTCAAAGGAAACTGACACACTTTAAATGCCTCGGAGTCTGTGCCAGCAGCTCTGGGACACAATGGGACAGGTTTTTTTTCTTAAAGCGAGCAGGTGGGCTTATGCGCGTTTCCCCTGCAGTGCGCAGTGTGGTGGGCGTGCAGGGTGTGCTTGTCCCCGGGGCCCTGCTGCCACCGGGGTGCTGCGAGGTGCTGCACGCTCAGGGCGCTGTGAGCGGCAAGGGCAGTGCCCCCAGCACGGAATCTTCTCTGAGGCTGCCCATGTCCTTTGGCTTTGGGCTTGCGGCTGCATCTCCTGAGGGGTCCCTGGGGACTGCACGCCCCCGGCCCAGCCCCCGAACAGTGAGCCGGGTGGCTGCACGGCCGTGCCAGCCTGGAAGGTGCCGTGCGGTGCCGCCCGCGGAGCGCCTTTCCCGGGCGGGGGTGGGCATCCCTCTCCCCAGAGCGGCGCGCCGGTCCCAGCAGCCGCTCCTGGCGAGGGGCTCGGCCCCGGTGGCGGCGGCGGGCCGGGCCCGTCCTGCCCCGGAGCGCGGCGGGCCGGGCCAGCCCGCGGGGCCGCGCCGGGGCCGCCACCTGACTGCGGGACGCGGGGAGCGGGCGGGGCGGCCCCTGCCCTCCGCGGGGGCGGCTTCCCTCACGCCGAAGTTTCCCCGACTGGTGCAAAGAGAGAGGCAGGTCCCGCCGCGGCGGGGTGGGAGAAGCATCGCGGCGGAGGAGGGGCGGATCGGCGCGGGCGTGGAAGAGAGGTGGGCAAGGAGCGATGACCTTTGCGGGGAGCCGGCGAGGGAGCGGGCCAGAGGCAGAGCGAGCGGCAGCGCGGGGGGATGCTTGCTGAGACCCGGAGGAGAGCCGCCCCGTAATGTCACCATGTAAGTCTCTTCTCCGAGCTCCGGGACGAGGGCTGCGGCTGCCCGGGGCGCTGGGGCAGCGCCGATAGCCCCGCGGGCTGCATCGAGGGGCCAGGAGCCCGGGCAGGGCTTCCCCGCCACCCACGGTAGGGGGTGAGTAATGTCAGCGCTGAGCCGTGCAGCTAGGTAGGGCTGAAGGAATGGGGAAACGGGGAGGCTTCAGGCCGGGAGCTCGGAGGGCAGGGCTGGCAAGGCTCTGCCCCGTCCGGGCTCCGTGTCCGTCGGCGGCCGCCCGGCCGGCTCCCGGGCGGCCGCTGCCTTTCCAGGGCGCCCTAACACCGTCCTTAGCGCCGGTCTGGTGGATTTCCCCGTGCTTGCGGACTAGCAGCCAAACACTTGGCCCCGCTGGCCGCCTGCCCTGAGCAGCGGTGCCCCCGCATCCTCCCGGCCCCGGCCCCTCGGCTCGGGGCCGCGGCCGCTCACGTCGAGGAGCCCTGGCACCACGGGCAGCCTTCCAGGTGAAGTGCCAGCGCAATTAGGGAAAAAGCAGGGGAGAGGGAGGGCAGGGCGGGCTTCACAAAGCATTCGCATCCCCGGCGCGACTCGGCAGCGCACGGAGCGGGGGCAGCGCCGGGCTCCGCCACTCTCGGCGGGCGAGGGGCGGGCGGGGGCTCCCCCTCCTGCCGGACAGTGCCCCGGCCTCCGCACGCCTTCCCGGGGATATTTCTCCTCTACTGACTGTCACTCGCCGAAGGTAAGGCGAGATACTGAGGTCTGGGGCTCGGCGTTCCCTCGGTGCGTTCACAGCCAGGAAGCGAGAACCCGGGGATGGAGTCAGTACAAGTGAAAAGAGCAGGGGGTTCTCACACTGCGCCGTCAAGTTATGGCAGAAATCAGGCTTTCCTAAGGATTTAGTGTTGCGGTGCTACCGGATTGGAAACAGCCAGCAGATTTGTTGCCTGCAACTGGGAAAAGTTCCCTTTGAAAGGAAAGCCAAGGGACTTAGATGGATCTGATAGGGCTGATACTTTTTAAATTAAAAGGCAGTGTCTCTTTTGATGAGCATGAGGGTGTTTTCAAAGCTGGCTGTAAGAGTAATTAGGAACAAGTAGTGCTTAACAAAATGAAAGTTTTAAGGGGTATTGTGTAATTAGTCTTTCAAGACATTCATGTACAGTTTAAAGCAATAGTTTCAAAGTTAAAATCAACTTCTCTATTAATCTTGGGGAACTAAACTGTGAGTTACAATCATCTTTCACTTGCAGTTCAACTTGGGAGTGATTAAGAATAAAATATTTTTGTTTACAATCTATGTGAAAAAAAATATGAAATTGATGTTATCCTTCTTTTAATTTTAAAGTGTCAGCAACATTTTTCCTTAATAGCTTTAGACATGTCAAAGACAAAAAAAGTCATGTCAGCATGCCTGAGGCAGAATTCACATCCTACTCCAGGGAATTTTGACAAAGTTTTGAACACAGAAGATGGTGTATTCAAATTTGTATTGCATATTTTGGGATGGTACAATCTACAAATGAAATACTCCAGCATTATTCACATTTTATGTATGTTGTCCTGCAGAACTGTAAATTCCCTAAAAGGCAATGCTATTTTGTCTGCTAGCTGGCTGCTGACATGTAGAATAAAAGATTTAGTAGCTGGATGTAGCAAAATTCCCAGTAATTCCATCTTGAACTGTGTCAAGTTACTACCCATTTAGGGTTTAGATAATTTACATGTCTATTTTTCTCTTCTGAAATGAATTGTGAATAAGCTCATTGTCTCCCTATGTTATAGGAAATGAAAGTAGCTGTGGACTAGACTGTACTGAATTGGTATCTGGAGTGCATAGATGGTCATGTCACACAGTGTCTGTACTGGGAAATGCAAATCCATAGGAAAATTAGTACTTCAGACTTCAAAAGAATCAGACTCCACAGAAGGCCAAAACCCTCAAAAACCCCCAAAAAGTTAAGAGGGATTGCTGGTTTTAGACTGTATCCACATGTAGTATACTCCTACCATAGGTGTCCTAATAATTCCCACATATGTTGGGTGAAACGTTTTTGTTCTGTGACAATCTAGAGTGATTTCTTCAGAGCTGCTAGTCTGTTACCAGCTGGTGACAAAGCAGGGTTTTTTCCTTTAAACTGATACAAAATAGAGAAGAACTATGTTCAGCAATGTTTGTGTAACCAAACACAAAGACTGAAATAATCCATCTCTTCTGAGACCTTTGTTACAGATCCATCTCTTTGTTACAGGGTCCATCCCTTTGCTTACCTAAACTCCTGGTATGTTTTACTATATTGCTGTTCTGATATCCATCCCCTGTGCTGTTAATGAATATTAAATGATAGAACATATCTTTATAATTGTATTTAAAATAAGAACACAAGACCAAAGAGGTCTCTTGGGCCATCAAATCAGTGCGGTCAGGAGGCCATATAAGCTATATGTGAGGGAGCCTTGATAAGCATAAACAATCTAAGAACTGTTTGCTGATTTTTCTGTTGAATTATTCATATGCTGTTTGTATTTACTTCTAGATGTTCATTAACACTAGTAAAAAGAACCTTAAAATAAATATGGTGGCTACTAAGAGATGAATAACATCTGCAACTAAGTTGTGTTTTTTAAAGCCTGGGAAGTATTTATCAGTTATTACAACACCTTATCATAATTGTCTGAAATGTCAAATTATAAAAATATCAGGGATGGATTTTGTTGTGGAAAAAGCCTTTTTGTTGGCAATTATCTGACTTCCATCCCTGACAACTTCTTGTGTGAACAGGAGTGTTACACATCACAGTATAAGGCTGTGAGAAATCAGCTTTCTGAATTTTCACTTTTTGGCTCTGCAAGATCCTAGGAACATATAAATAACTGATTTCCTCACTAATTTATAGCACTCAGCTAGTGGTTATGCTTTGTAAAACAGTTTTTCAGCAA